GATGATTCACCGAGTCGAAGGTTTTTTCAGTAACAGCGAGTCCGCTCGTCGGGTTTAATGTATTTTTACTTGGCCGGATTCACTAGACGTCTTCATTCTCGAGATAATATCACTCTTCTCTTATTTGCCACGTTCAAAATAATGATTAGGCGATATCGAATTTAAGGGAAGACTAAGAATATTGTAATGGTAAATATCGCGCAAATTTGAATGTAAGGTGGTACCTTGGTGAAACAAAGGATCGAAAAAAATTCATAGGTAAATAATTAAGTAAGTAATTAAATAAAATAGCAAATGAAAATAATATGAATTGGGTTATAAGACAGGTGGCGAATAATGTAATTTAGTGGGTAATATAAATGGAGATTTGGCGTGGAATTTATTGAGCCTGAAATGGGTGGCAACAAAGGTGAGAAGAAAAAGAATGGAATATCTGCCCCGATAGGAATTGAGTGGTAAGAGGCGTTCGGCACTTGCTTTTATCTCCACGTCTACGGAAGTAACAACGAGAGATAACTAATTTATTCGAGTACTTGCTATATGGATCGCCGTACCGTGCGATCGCGTATTAACGAGCTTTCTATTAGATGGTGATGGTTGTTGTAGGGAGCAGGGGGGGGGGGAGGAGACCGGCTCTTCTCCTCGTGAACGACGAGCTCACCGCGATAGCACCTAGATATTTCTGCATCGGTTGGCTTTATCGACATTTAATTACCACATACATGTTTACTCTGTCCTTTACTGTATTCCCCTGTGCTTTATTTCCTCGAGTCTCGATAAGTACGCCTCGTCGCTATCTCTGTCTCTTACCTGCCGCGATAACGTGCGGATATTGAAAGCCTTAGAGATTCATTAGCTTATTTATACAATAAGCGGGCGTTGTTTGGTGCAGGGAAGGAGAATTAAATGGTCAATTCAATTGCGAATGGCAATTGTGAGGGAAGATTTTTAATTTTGTCGATCGTCGGTCAAGTGACGTTTGCGATTCGGCATCGCAAAATTCAGCATTTTATCATAATTTTCATATCCCTTCCATTAATGCTGGCAATTTGCGTTAAAAGTCCAAAGGTTCCGAATTCTCCTCCAATACGTGCAATCGCATTATCATCATTTTTGCCGAGCTTATTTTTTGTCACACGACTCCCCTTTCCCCACGTCCTTCCCATGCCCCGACTAGCAATAACAAAAACGGAGACTCTTCGTTTATCTCTGCGGTTTCCTTCTCCCGATTCTTTTTTTTTTTTCCCCGTTCCGCTATTTCGTCGACGTTCGTTGTTGTGCCCAGGAGGATGCAAAAGTTTCTTCGCTGAGACGACATTGACCAAGACACGAGACTAATGACGACGATCGGGGAGTCGAGTCGAGCCGGGCCTGCCATTGCCAATCGATTATTTCTCCTTCCACTACGTGACCAAATATTTGATTTACCGAGAGCCGAGGTTGAAAAAACTTGGCGTTTATCGTACGGCAGGATTCGTTGATAATCGTGCGTCATGCAACGTAGATTTTGCCCCACCGTACAAATGTTTTTGGACCGAGTATCGAGTAAAAAGGAGATTGCGCAGCACCTTACGTTGGTAATGCCAATTTTAATGGGAACGCTGACGAAGGGGTTACGTGCGAATAGCACGAATTTTATTTTATTGCAATGGAAGAAGAGGGAGCGATTATATTTAGATCGGTGGGAGAGTCGATTGTTTTATCGTTTTGCATGAGAATCGAATGCAAAAGGAATTTTGCGAAAGACTAGCGTACTTTCTGTACGCGCACACTCCCGTAAAAACGTTAATTAATGTATTCTTAAAAGTTCTGTGGGGTCCCGCTGGGTTGTTTCACCTCGAGAGCACATAGAACGAGCAAATTTTTGATGGATCGATCGATTAATGATCCCACGGGTTCACATACGACAGATTCAATCAAGCGCAAATTTGTTTTTCACGGTCATCTGTTTAACGTTTTATCATTACTTTATGTCGACATATTTGTTCACAGACACAGCCCGAGGAATGTGTTTTTCTCTTTGTAATATATATCTCAATGGCTCCAAGTGGTCTAACACCCCCCCCCTCACTAGCTCACTCACCTTCTCTCTTTATCCATCTGTCTCTCTATCCATCTCTCTATCCATCTCTCTCTCTCTCTCTCTCACGCGCGCGCGCCACCATCTTCGCCACGATTTGCTTCATTGTTGTTTACAATGGCATTTTGAAGTGCTTCAATGAAAAAGTTATGGACGTTCAATTACCAATCGTATATGAGATAGCTGATCATCTAGTTTGCTTAATTGAGAATTTACTTTTCCTTCTATTTCTCTCGCTTGATGCATTAACCAATGCAACTATAATACAAACTGATAATAATACCGACTATTAAAGGGGCAATTAAAAAAAATGTCCTTGTAATTCCAAATCAATATCCGGGCTGCGTTACATGTAATATTATATAATTTATTGCCTAGCCGATGGTATTGAAATAGAATAAAGAGAAACACGAGGTTAAATTACTTTTCTTCGTATCTTCTGATGTATGTACAATGTAACTAATAATTCTTGATCGATGTACCGAACATGACTGAATAACAGTTTTAATACAAAAATAAAACAAAAACAAAAAAAAAACAAAAAACAAAAAAAAAAGAGAAGAGAAACTTGTTATGTACACCATTAAATGTATCAAGCAGATTCAGTACTTAAGCTCAGGCGCTTATAATAGAAGATGAAAAAACAAGAAAAAAAAGGACAGCATGAAAAATGTCCCCACATGATCGCACGTACAATTGCACACGCCTCCATTGGCATCCATCTATGGTAAAAAATAGGCAGAAAGTTACTCCGCACACGCGCGGAAATGCAGTTTATCGCTGGCGACCTAACAATTCCCCTTTATAACCATCATAACCATTATAATACAACTCGTAATACGCAGTAACGAGGTCCATCAGTAGTCTCATCTTTCTGTACGTCGTTTCTTGTCTCTGCTTCGCTCCCCTCCGCCCTCTTATTCTCCCATGTGCCACCATTCCACCATTTCTCGATTTACTTTCTTTTTAACGCAAATCAACGTATAAATAAATATACATTGTATATATATATATATATATAGATATAAATACATGGTTGGATAAAAAAAGAAAAAAAGAAACGATTATGAATCAAAACCGTTAGGGCAATATGTACAATAACGATCGGTACGTTCTCGATATTAAATTCATTGATTACAAATTACGAAATTATTTTTAACGAGAATGTGAGCTGTCGATTAAATATTAAAATATGATTCATTTGGATGAAATTAATTTGTAATAATATTATCCATCAATTTACAAATCATCCTCATTTATTATATTTCTCCGAATTGCATCTACTAAGCAGAATTTCTTTATTCACAATATACATACATATCAATGACATACATAATATCAATGAATTGGAATTATTATACGGCGAAATTCATATATCTTTGTGGATAACAAATCGAGGCAGTGCTTGTTAGTGTCGATTCCGGTCTAACTTTCATATCGTGAAAAATTATGAAATCTAAATTTATTTAAATCATCGTTACATCGATACGTCGGTATTTCCTCAGACTATGTATGCATTAAATCTTCATGGCGAAATGTTTGAATAAAATAATGTGAAAATTACGTTCAATGTTTAAATTGCCTGTTAACTTATACAATGTTGTTTCTCAAATCATTTCATTTTCAAATCAAATTATTTAAACTCCATTATATCGATTTATAAGACTTGTATTTTTTTTTAAATCTGCGATGCTCGCTCGAATACACGTTAACAAACTTAAAAATGGAAAATGCGCTAAGGCGAGCCTACAACTACGTAACGAATGTTAGCGATCAATCTCCGATGTTGCTGTACGCGCTCATCTGTATATTTCTTCGAAGGATATCAAATTCCCTCGAGGCTCGCGTTGAAATAAGTTTTGTTTTACGGCTCGCGACAGCCTTGTAGCGCTTTTCGGCCTTGTTAGCACCCTGTACTCGATTTCATTGAATAATGGCTTTATTACCAATTATCAATAGTTACCGATGTGTGCTCCTTATCACGATCGTCCATTATGCGATTACCTTTTTAACTCTTTCCGTGCCACATCAAATTGCCTTCTCATTCGCTCTTAAATCAATGGAAGATTTTTCAAATTGAAGCCGCCGCTCGACTATCGCTCTATTGTCTCCATTATTAACGTGTCCACAGATTAAATTACTCCTCAGCTTAACAGCTTCATAGCTTAATTAATGCTATAAGACATTTCGTAAACTCGAAACGTCGAGCGTTTACGCTTACGTTTGCTTTATTATGCCGTTCGCGGCACTCTCTGTTATATGAAAATTCGATTGAATTTAGGTAAAAGAGCAGCCGATTGGCGAGTAATTTTGAAAATAACTTTGACGACTCCCGCCTCTCCCCTGACTCCCGGACGCAACGACAATTGCGTATATCACGCTTTAATCGCGATCTTCTCCTAATGTCCGCTACAGCGCAAGTATTATCAAAAATCCTTGCTTCGCTGGCTAAGTTCAGCGACTCCTCATAATTCAGGACACGCATAGACCGCACAATTGGCGAGATATCCGCAACGAAGCGATTAAGCACAATAAAGACTTTATACCTTTCATTGATTTAAGGTTAAATTAATGATTTTCGTTTCCGCGCAAGCGAGTATCAACGTTCGCGCCAACTAATGGCAATAATATAATAATAATAATAATAATAATAATAATAATAATAACAATAACAATAATAACAATAATAATAATAATAATAATAAAAACAACCCCTAAAGCAAAAACAAAAGGAAATAAACAGAAGAAAGACAATTGAATGAAAATAAGAAAAAGAAAAGAGGAAGGACGGAAGAGTAGGTAGAAGGGCCGCGGGGATAAATCGCGCGATCGACAACGCAGGCGCTAACGGGTCGATCGATCGATGCCACGCGATTCACCAACACGACCATTAAAACACGACGTCTCTTTTTTCTTGCAGGATTCACCGGTGATCAGTGCGAGGAGAACATCGACGACTGCGAGGGCAACCTCTGTCAGAACGGGGCCAAGTGCATCGACCGGCTGAACGAGTACTCGTGCCTCTGCCCGCCCGCGTTCACCGGGACCCAGTGCGAGCACGACGTAGACGAGTGCTCGGTGAGGCCCTCGCTCTGCCATAATGGGGCCACCTGCACCAACAGCCACGGCAGCTACTCCTGCATCTGCGTCAACGGCTGGACCGGACCCGACTGCAGCGTCAACATCGACGATTGCGCCGGTGCCGCCTGCTTCAACGGCGCCACGTGCATCGACAGGGTCGGCAGCTTCTTCTGCCAGTGCACCCACGGCAAGACTGGTAAGTTACCAACTTACGTCATGCGACGAACACGCAAAGTCCAATCGCTTACAATCGATGATTCTGAATTAATGGAATTCTTACCCCGCCGCTCTCCCATTCCCCGTTCAATTGCCAACGAACAAAACTCGTACCACCCCGGTCACACTACTTTAATCACCCATTTAAATCCATACTTAATGCCATTCGTTTAAGTCATTGAGGTGAAAGTAATTTCGTAAAATTTACCAGCCTCTGGTGCTGGAGACGATTATTCACATTTACGTTGGTAGCCATGGTGAGGCTCGAGACGATACACTCGTTGTCAAATCTTTTTGTTGCGTATTTTTCCGATTCCTATCGCGGACATTGTCAATTGCTCGGATGCAATTCGAAATCTATGATACTTCTTTATGTGATGTTTGCCCGGGCGAGATTACGCTGATTCAACATTCCGGTCCTCTCATTTACCGATTCGTTACCGAAGCACTTGGCTATGGCCAACGGACTTTCTCTCAAAGTCTCAGCCATTTACGCATACAAAAGCCGATTTCTTCTTCACTCCACTGGGCTCTATCGATCGGCTTAGATCGCGATTTTACGGTACGCACGTACGACTCCCGCGATAATAAATAACGCTGATTGCAGTCGAGGCATCGAGCCGCCGAGGCCATTCAACGTCTAACCAATGCAATAGAGAAGTAAGATAAGAGTAGATGGGGCTGGAAGCGGGACGCGCGAAAAAGCTCGAGATTCCCGGTCTTACGCGCACTCGCAGCTTGGCAGTTACGCGCAGCGCCATAATCGGCGATGGCCAATCGAAGTCGGCATTTTTACGTCCATCCGTGACGCCCATGCGCGCTAAAGAAGGCTTTAATCCCTCTCCCCCTCTACCCCAACCTACCTGGCTTAACCACGCGCTTATTTATAAATCGCGCGCGGCCAATCGGGAATACGTCGCTTTCTACACTCGATTCGCCATTCGTTCGGTTAGCCACTGACCTTCGAGCACGCAACCAATCTACCCAATACGTACTAGGAGCCGATTATTTGTACCCTCTTTGTTCCGTCGACCGATGACAAGATTTCTAATATCGATAGGGGGGTGTGGAAATCGGCACACCGGCCCGCCAATTAATTCCAGCTCAAGCTCGCTTAAGATTCGTCCGAGTTGCGCGTGTCGGGCAACGCCCTTGCAATGCGCGTCTCGTAGAACGTAACGAGGGTCACCTTCGAGTCATTTTCGCAAACGAGTGCGTCGCGACGAGGAAACAACGGCCGAGTAGAATGGGCTCGTCGGATTAGAAATGTGAATAATCCTGCAGCTGAGCGCGTCGCTAAGCGAGCATTATACGGTGCGCGATGATGGTGGGGCACAGGGGGTTCCGAGATGCTCGAGATACGGATTATACGAGTGACATTATAATAATCAAGGAAGAATATTACCTACCGCGTTGGTGGGCGTAGCTTTGAGACGTTGGAAGCCGATGATCATCGAGGAACAGGTGTGCTCGTTCTGGAGCTAAGGAACACGGGCATCGACAGCTAAATTCCTTGCCGCCGAGCATTTAAAAGCTTCGCTTCCTCGCCGATCGTCTGACACATTGGGGCATTATTGGCCCTTTTCCCGTCTTTTTTCATTTTTATCATAGTCTTTTTTTCTTTCTGTTTTGTTTTATTTTGTTTTGTTTTATTTTTGCTTTAATGCAGCGGCAATTTACGAAAACGCGAGTCCTCGAATCGTGATTCATATTCATGGGATGTCGCGTGGTTTTTAACAAGCGAGCTTTAATGAAAGGATACCCGTGGATATTTTAATACATTTGACGTGGACTTATTAATTTTGTTGTTATTCTGTTGTTGTTGTTGTTGTTGTTGTTTCATTGCGGTTTTATTTTTTCGAGGGGACGATGTCAATGTTCTATAAGTATTTTTTAACGATTGTTAAAAGCCAAAATCCTCTTTATTAAAGAGGATTATAGCGGACTATAAATTATAAGATGATAGAAATTTTCTACGTACGATCGGAAAGTTAAACGATAAGTTTTTATGATTATGCATTAAATGATATTGTCATAATAATAAGATATTAAGTGAATTTGAAAATTTTTTTGTCTGCTTGAAAAAAGAGCCCGAGACGTACATGTCAGATTGAAAATTCATGTATAATATAAAAAGAAGCATTAAAAATTCTTGGTATTGAATTGCAGAACTTGACTGGGCATAAAACATAATAATACAAATATCGTGACACACACACACACTCACTCACTCTCTCTCTCTCTCTCTCTCTCTTCTATATAATTTACTTCATTAAGCAAATCGCATTTTGGCTACTATTACTAATAATAATAACGATAGTTCAAATAATAACATAAATAATAATAATAATAATAATAGCAACAATGAACAACATCTGTGAAAATAATGTTTAATGTAAATAATATTAACATCAACAACAACGATAAAAACAACGATAACGAAAGCTCCCGTTAGTTTTCTTTTCATCATTACAGATCTGGTAAAGTGGAGCCCAAGAGCAAAATATAAAGCAAACAGAAGAGAAGTAAAAGAAAAGTTGGTGATTGGACGGGGCGAATAAAAATGCCCATAAGACTGTTCATGCGCACTTTGCGCGTTCGCACGAGCGATTCCAGCGTTTTGCTCTAGCCGTGCTATAAATTTCACAGAACCTAACAAAAGCGATAGCGACTATTTTTCCTTCCCTGCCCTGCCCCCTCCGATTTCTCGCGAAGGAGCCGCTACCTGTCCCCAAAGATGGACATCATTAAGAGGGTCGAAAGGATCGACAACGCGAGCGTGTGGAAAATATCTAACGCGAAACGCGCTATGGGATCGCGTAATTGCAAGCATGTGGCGGCAGCCGAGTGACGAATCCCACTTTCGTTTTTCGTGTTCGATAAATTGCTGGAATAGCTTGCTTCGGTCCAACCAGCCAATCCTTTTTCCTCCGCTCGTGACTCTGCGACGTTATGCGCGTTCTTTTTCCTTCTCCTTCATTTTACATTTTCTTTTTTTCTTTCTTTATGCTTCTTTTTTTGTTGCTTTGCTTTATCTCGGCGAGGAAAGGCGGAAAATGAGCGTTTTTATTGGTGTTGTTGTTGTTGCTGTTGCTGCTGCTGCTGCTGCTGCTGCTGCTGTTGTTGTTGTTGTTGTTGTTGTTGTTGTTGTTGTTGTTGTTGTTGTTGTTGTTGTTGTTGTTGTTGTTGCTACTGCTACGAACGATCACCACCGCACTTTAATCAATAATGAAGACGTAAAAATTCATCGACTTGTATCGTGAAGAAAAACGCATGTCGAGCATAAAACTGTTACTTTATCCTAGTGTTAATTACATACAGGACCGTAAACGAAATTGTCTAATGTGCTGATACCATTACTAATTAATAAGTATTCGTGAGGAATGAAATTTAATGTGCAGCCAAATTAGAAATAGACACTACTAGTCGATCTTGTTTAAATAGGTAAACAAGGATTGGCTATCATTTCTTAAAAATCATCAGTACCAAGTATATGGCGACAAATGCGTGGCATTGATTTAATTAACATTAATTTTCCAAGTGTTTTATTCTTTGACTCAATCATTAAATCATTAATTTACACAATTGCAGGTCTTTTATGCCATTTGGACGACGCTTGCACATCGAATCCTTGTCATCAGGACGCGGTGTGTGACACGAGTCCCATCAATGGATCCTTCACGTGCTCATGTACTAGCGGTTATCGCGGCATCGACTGTTCCGAAGATATCGACGAGTGCAAGCAAGGTAAGAAATTCGGCTTTGTGCTGGAAATTTTTTAAATCTTTCGACTGAATCATACGCGAATTCCCATTCCGATCGAACCAGCAATGTAAACGAGCTGTGCCGCAAAGATCCGCTGAAAACCTTTTGTATTTATGAACATTAAGATCGATTGCTGGAGAACAACGTTACACCTTTAAACATATTTGTGTCAATGTATTATCTTTTGCCCTTGGCGTTTCAAAGCTCCAGAATCGTTCTCAAAATGTAAATTTGTATGTAGACATTGGGGATGACGCTCACCAACGTTCTATGCGACCAAATGGATACTCAAGGCTTCGGGAATGGTTATTAATGGACGGACTTTCTACCGTTATATATTGGAAAAACTTGTGTATCTAAATATGCCCCCTACCCTCTCACAATGACGCACAGATCTGAGTGCGCACGTGCGCGTGAGTCTCGGGCCCTCGACTCCCCTGCCCTTTTGATTAATGAAGAGGCAGAGGCGTTTTAAATCACTACGACTTGGCTTTTCGGCGCTTACGCCGCCGCCCTTAAAGAGATTCACCATCGATAAACATCACAGTCGTCGCTTCCTGGTTCCCTTGTTCTGGCTCGGTAGATTATTCGCGGCGGTTCATGGCCTTTTGACGGACCCGAGAGGATGTTTGCCGGTTTAAATTATGATGGAATAATTGGCATGGATTTTCTAATTAGCAAAATCGTCGATTCGGTATCGAAGAAAGCGAGCTGGCGTATTCACTCTTCGTAATTATCTCGTTATTAATGTCTCGATAAGGACATCGATATTGTATTGCTTATGCGGGGAGTAGGAAAAAAATTCGAATCTCCAGTTACTGCAGTTCACAGAATACCAATTGGATTAAACTTCTTAGTCCAATCTTTGAAAACTAATTGGTCTTTATCAATTTGCGAATTAAATTTTTTTACTTTTTAATGTGCAATATACTTAAGTATAGCAAATTCGTATTATGTAGATGTATAAAAAAAAAAAAGAAAAAACAAATTAAATGCCTTTTAATCGTAATTTTGATACATTAATCGTTATTAATTGTAATTTTGATGTTAGTTATTTCATATATATATATATATATATATATTATACATAGAACGGATAAGTAAAGGATCGCGGCCTCAATAAACAGAATGGTTTTTCGATGCTGAACTAAATTATTTACTCCCAGGGTCTAAAAGAGCGATATCAAGTTTACTCAAGTACGGGTGGGAAAATGTTGGATTTCACCATACGATCGAGCCGCGTCCATCATAAACGGTATGGCTTTGAGGCTAGCGGGTTTTAAATCGACAACAATCGACTGCCAGAATCATTTATGAGCACGAGCAAATTGAAAAGTCACTCACGCTAGGGGCACGGAAAAACTATCGAATCATGACTGCCAGATAAGTGGATGAATGCTTTGAAGTTTTCAACATCGGCGATGGGCGAAAATTCGTTTCCAGTTCATCTTCCGCCGTTACGTACCTCATGCTTCGAGTATTTAAATTCGAAAGTCGGCTACCGCGGTTTATAATATTGTGGGAAATAGAAATTAGTATGCTCAGTGTTTTGGAATTCGTGCGTCTTATGGGAGAAATGCCGTAGCCAATGTTCTGTACATTTTAAGCGTCTAATACTTTTTAACGTTCATTATGCGTCTGAATGGCTTTAATAACTTATCTGAGTAATGTATAATACTGACTGATATATGCACATACGTACGCACGCACGCGCGCATACACAACTATGTAGATTTATAATAAATAGCCAAAAGCCAATGGCGTACTTAGAGATTCATAGCGATCGAGAAAATCCCTCTTTCCCAGAGGTCATTGATCCAAAGGCCAACTTTGTGTCATTTGTAATTTTACTACTCGGTGATATTATATGGCTATTTTTCTCATTTAAGTTACTTCCTATTTCCTTTTTTCCTTTTTTCCTTTCCTACTTCCTACTTTTTTTTTTTTTTTTTTTTTTTTTTTTTTTTTTTTTTGGTCACTCTTACTGACAGACAGAAGATTAATGTACGGGCAAATAAGAATTAGATATCCCGTCCATCGCGCGACAATAATCAATGATTCTCCATTTACCAGCTGATAAATTGTAAAGTAACATCGGCCAATTAAGCGAAATGATAGGATAGCATTGACGCATGTACGCACAGATTACTTTTTATTTTGGAAATAAAAGTTCTTCGTAGTTTACAAGCGCTGTCTTACAGCAAGGCTTATAAACATTTTATTCGTAATTTTTCTCCTCTTCGTTTTTTCCCCTTAATATATGCGCGGTTTTCTATCGTTAATATTTTAAGTTTATTAAGCTTATTATGAGATGCGTCGTTAAATTTGGAATAAATTGTCCGATCACCGATCGCATAATTTTTTTGGCTCTCTGAATTTCATTCTGCATTTTATAAGTAAATGCTCGCTGTAAATTTTTAATGGCCTCGAGAAGTTTAAATTAGAATATAAAGATTTTTATGTATTAAAAATTTTTTTTTTTTTTTTAATTAATTCATTAAATCTCTTGCCCAAGGAACTGTTAGTGGCATTATTATTTAGCAAGTAAAGCATTGGCAAACTCGATGAGAAGAGCCTTGAAGAAATTAAATCAATTATTAAAATTAGGCCGACATTATTGTGCCGTAAATTTCGTTTTAAAAACAAAAATACACTTTGATTACCCAAAGCGGGCCGAGACAGTGTAAAAGCAATGGTGCAAGTCTAATTAAAATATAAACGATATACTTTTGCGCGAGTATATTCCTTGCATTTGCAAAAATGCCAATTGATCTTTGTCTACGTCAAGTCTTTTACGTCGCTGCAATTTGAGAGTGAAAAAGCCCCCGAGCAGCGTTTCAAGAGGGTCCGTGCATTATCTTTCTCGAAATAATAATACGCTTTTCCGATGCTTCGAGGCTCAATTTCATCGCGACAAAAGTTGCGAGCTTTAATAACAACGTAAACAACAGCCGGACAACAGATGCCTAATGAAAATGAAAGGAAAGGCAAAGGGATGAAAAAGAAATGAAATGCAAACAAACGACGAATTAATGAGCAACGTCGGGCTTGAATTAATAGCGAAGCCGAGAGTAGAGAAGAAACTCGTGGAATTGGAGGCGTTAAAGAAGCAGGAGACAAAGGAGGCGATGCATCTGATTATTAATGAAGTGTCTTTGTCTCTCCAGAGAAGTGCGCGTGTCGGTTAGTTAATACACATAGAGGCCCCCATGGACTTGGCCGTACGTACAACCTGATTTATCGTTGTGCTACCGCATTAACGTGTGGGATATGCCATTATACTCGTAAGCCGTTGCATGCGAAAAGTTTCTTTGTTTATGTACAGGCCGCTGTGGCAATCAATTATCTTCAATTCATTATTGTTACAATTATATTTTTCTTCTTTATTCAATGGAATAATCGTCCATTCATTACCGTTGAGTGCACTAAAACCATTTTGGGTTACGCGGGATGAGAAAGAGTAGCGAGCGCGACTGTCGCGATGTGCTGCGAAACGCAAAGCTTTAAGGGCAATAATAAGAATAATTATGGTAATGATGATGTTTGAATTATGGGAATGTAATTATTGATAGCAGTCGCGATAGAATAAAATTAATTTGGCTTTAAGCGTAAATTGGACAAGCGTATTGTCATAGATCTATTATTGTTAATTAAAATTACAATTCCACTAAAGGATAGCGTGGGGATGTTACTTCGAGTTTCCTTTTAACCAGACATCCCTGCAATTATTAAACATTGTTGGATATAAAGTAATAAAATTAAAAAGTTTTCTTATTCTTCTTATTCTTCTTATTCTTCTTCTTCTTCTTCTTCTTCTTCTTCTTCTTCTTTGTTTTACAAAGAATAAACCTCTTCCTTATCAAGAATGGGTGCATTGCCATGTATCGAATATCGCATTATAAAGCTCCGTAACCGCGCCAACCACTGACTTTATCTCTCGAGATGATTTCTTCAGCATTGAGATATAGACACGTTGCATTTGATGATTAACGCGATTCTTCTGCGATATCACGTTGCATTTTCGCAAATGTTCAGTGATGCTGACCTATTATTAAGTAAGGGTTTCGAGTTACATTCAGCGATTAAAAATGTTTGAAACATCGCATTACTGTTTATCATCGACGCAAGGGAGGGAGCAAGACTATCTTGGCCAGAAACGAAAAGTATAATATAATAGAGTATAGATCGTCGGAATTATAATTATCCATACACAATAATAAATAGGCTGCTTAAATACGTCAATATCTGATAAATTATCCGAGTCCTGATTTGTAGCCAGGACCGATTAGATGCCGAAGGGCGCGACTTCAAAGTCACTTTGTAACAATCGGTAAGCGCTCATATTATGCATACGTATCGACTGAATAAATTAAATAGACGTGAAATACTTGGGGGATCGGCATGGGAATCGGTATCGATAGGAGCGAGCACCTCCGATACTATACCGGAGATTTTCAAGTGCCTTAGCAGGAGCCTTCATCAACCTCGTGCTCCCATGGTCCTTGCAGGTGTTTTCACGTCTTCGCTAGTGATAAACTACTAGATGGCGAAGAACCATTGCCTCCGGGTCTATTTCAATTTTCAACCATAAAGATGAAACTTTTTTTACTTTTTTTTTTTGTTTTTTTTTTTTTTGTTTTTTCACCCAGACCGCCCCTCGACATTACGGTTGTTACGGATTCGGGGCGGCTGATTCTCATAATTTTCTTTTAAACGGCGATGCAAAAAGCAAGTTTTAATGGGGAGAGAGGTGGAGGCTATTCATCGCAACGCGTGCGAAACAACTGCAAAGTTGTTCGCTTGTTGTTAAACACGATGTTCTAATGTCACGGGGACGTATATTCTTATGAAAACCCCGATGAACCCAGAGACTTCGGTGGACTACGAACGGCCGGTCCTGCAATATCGATGATTTTTCAATACGAGCGTTGCCGTATATTGTAACCCAATGGTACGTTACGCAATCTCACGAAGCGACAGTT